TTAGGGTTTAGGGTTCAGGGGCTCGAGGTTTGTCAAGGAAGGATGTGCGGTCGAGGGATAAGGGCTTTGGGGTTCTGAGGCTTAGATTTCAGTTCGGAGGCCGCCTGTCTACCACCAAGAGTTTGCTAGATCCCCCATGTTGGATGCCTCCTTTCCAAAACCCCCAAATGTGAAGTTTAACCCCTAATCTTCGATGTCTCCTTCCCAAAGCCCAAAACCCGATCCCTAGTTCCGAACAAAACCGAGTCAACGCTTGGCTACCATTATCGTGATGACGACGGTAGTGACCAGGGCGGGTATGTTTGCAGGCATGCGTACTTGCCTGTGCATGCGATACGTGCAGATGTATATCAACATACACATATCGAGAAGTGGATTGGCGGAAACAACCAGGTAACATGTAATATACCGTATACTTACTTACAGCACATTGAACCTTCGGCTGTGGGTAGCTTGCCAAGGCAAGTCGCTGAATTCTTGGGCATCAGATCGGTGATCTTCTCCTGCAACTGAAGCACCCCAAAACCTTAACCCTAAACCCTNNCCCTAAACCTAAACCCTGAATCCCTAAACCCTAAACCCCTCTACCCCTCAACCCTGAAACCCTAAACCCTAAACCCTAAACCCTAAACCTAAACCCTGAATCCCTAAACCCTAAACCCTAAACCCCTCTACCCCTCAACCCTGAAACCCTAAACCCTAAACCCCTAAACCCTGAAACCCTAAACCGTAAACCCTCAAAAGGGTCAGGTCACATCGTTTCCAGTTTGAGGCCCTGCGGTCCGGTCTCAGTTCAAAGCCAATGCCCGGCGGTTTAGGGTTTAGGGCTTTAGGGTTATAGGGTCTAGGGTTCTAGGGTTTAGGGTTTAGGGTTTAGGGTTTAGGGTTTTAGGGTCAAGGGTTTAGGGTTTAGGATTTAGGGATTAGGGTTGAGGCTTTGGCATTTAGTGTTTAGGGTTTTGCTATGTCTCTTAAATAAGGCTGCTGCGCCCTCCGGTTGCCCGAAGTTGACAAGACTTTAGGTCTTTTGTCGGATATGTGGACATGCCGCAATCCACATGCTACCAACACAGCCTACTTCGGAGAGCGTACTAAGTTTCACACCTGACGATACTCCAATGAAGCAACGATCCACGTTGAAGCCTCTCTTTGCGATCGCGATCGCGATCGCTTGGAAACATTTGAACACATGCAAATTGCACCAGAACGTCTGCTCATAGAACTTCTGCAACCTGCTCATGTTTTCTTCCATAACAGGATCAAGCAGAGGGTGGGGAATCCTGATATAGCAGTTGTTGTGGGGGCCCTTCTTGATCACTTCGATAGGCAGGTGACATCCTGGTCTATCATAAGCGAAGCATACGTCGTCGTAACAGATAGTAGTAGACCTCTGATCCTCGGTCTCGCACCATTCCACCAGCAGAGAAATCATTCTCGTTTGCATTAGTTCTTGCTGCAGACAGCAAGATACCTTCTAGGTTCGGTCTGCCATTTCCAAAGTCCAGGATTCCTCGCCCTCGTGCCCGGGTTGATGACGATTCTCTCTCTCTCTCTCTCTCTCCGTCCTCTCCCGCATCCAGTCTTTGTGAATACGCTGGAATTTGAGAACTCTTACTTGTAGCTGTTTTGCAGGCATCCAGAAAAAATCAGCACTTTCAAAACATTGTACATCCGCTGCCACCGCCTTGGCGATCGAGTTAGCAGCACGATTGATCTCCGGCTTCATCCTTCTGAACAAGCCCTCCCAGCACGAAAAGAAGTCATGTACTCGGTGCAAAACTGCCTCGGGGGGAATACCGCCGAAAGGCATGAAGCAGCCGTCGCCATCGTAGGTGTAGAGGAAGCCTTTGTGCACGCGCATGTGTCTGTCGCCTTCTATCATCCATGTGATAGCAGCTGCATCCGGTAGCATAGGTTTATCCCCGATCTTGCCCTCGGACATGTGGGACGCTATCATGATCATGCGCTTCAACTGGTCGGACATCCAGGGATACCTTGTATGCAGCTGACTCAGCATATTCTTGGTATTCTGCAGGATTGTATTCGGTTGTAAACACATATCTGATCTATAGGAATCCAGAGTGTCTCTGGTGATGTCTTCTGATCGCTGGAACATCCGCTTGCAATCGAGGGAGTGCGTGGCGGCACCGGGCAGCGTCCTTCGTTTCTTAGCGTGTGACTGTCCCACGACCTCATCGTCCTCCATCATGAGTTCCTGCAGTGCCATGTCCCAGTCGTCTTGTGTTGGGGTGGTCCAGGAAGATCGACAGAGAAAGGAATGGTGTCGGGGACCTCGTCCACATTACCCTGGCCACGTTCTGGGGAACGATTTGTTGCGGCTTCCAGTGGATCACATTCAGCCTCTTTGACTTCCTTTTCCATAGCAGCAGCGGTTTCCTGTCGCGGCGACATTGCATGAGGTTGGATATCTGTGCTTGCAGATCAGGCACGTCGTCAACGAAGCCATGTGGCAAATATTCTGGATGAACACAGACGACCTTCATGTCCTGTACGGTTAGGTCATAGTATTTTGCCAGAATCCATTTGTAGATGTTTAACTGCAATCTGTAGTCACAGCCCTGGCAATCATCCATCTCTTGCAGAGGGGGCTGCATAGTCTTGTTGTATCCGTTGTACTTTTCATGGAGCTTCTCACTCCGTTTCCAGTCAATCACATGGAAGATATTGCGATCCTTGTCTTTGAGCACGAGATCAATAGATCCGGCCAGGTCCTCGTCAGGTGCGTATATACACCATTCAGTTCTGTATACCTCCACACTTTCCATTCCAGATAGCAGCCTGATAACAGCATCAAGTTCCCCCCTCATGGGTCCGGCTTCGATCCTGTACCCGTTCAGCAAGTGCTCCATCATGGAATGCATCCAAGTGCCAGAGTTGGCTGCACGGTTTCGCTGATTGTCCCATGCCAACATAATCTCGTCGTCGGACATAACCGTTTCATCGAGGATGGAACTCCATTCAGCAAAGTCGTTCTTACTGATTGCAAACAGACGGCATATCTCATCAATGTTTGGAGTTTCCTCCCGCAGCAGATAGACCAAGTCAGCTTGATACCTGAAGCTTAGACCCATGTGCATCTTGGCCATCGCCTTGAAGTCGGTGGCTGGATCCACATATTCCGGTCGAGGCCATCGCTTGCCTTCTTTCATGCGCAACAATGCTGTATGAGGATCGAACTCTTCTGAATGTTGGTGAATCAATGCTGTTACCTGAGTTGTGACCACAGCAACAAATGCAACACAACTAATACAATTGTTCACACGATACTTAACCTTGCAGCCGAGATACGCTGCATGAAACTTCTGCGTTTTCGTAGAAGTACCGATGGCCGTCGGCTTCGAAACGGAGGTGCGCATCCCGAGGACACGAATTAATCAACGCCAGCTCCTTGCATGACCCAAGAAGGGAAATATCCGCAGTCCCCGGATCTGCAGCCATTCGGAATGCAGGATCGTGAGGATCCTCCCGTAGTACGGAGCCCACGACATTTACCAAGCCCCCGGGCCAGCCACCTGATCGCCCCGTCTGTGCAACACATATGTTCACCACTGATAGGATCTAAACCACGCGTATAAGTACACAATACTGCATGTCGAGTAGCCTTCACCGACAATTTCGCTGACGTCCATTTGGGGCGACACCTGTTTTTATTGCAAATACCACGCACGGTTGGTATTATCCCGACTATGCATATGCTATAAACCATAGTCAAGCGGACCCACCCAGGTAGTCTCTGGACAAGCCGACGTGGATGCCGCCGGTAGCAAAGTGCTCATCTTCCACATAGTTGTTCGCGTGCGGGTTGACAATTCCATCCTTAGACTTCAAGTAGTTGAACAATGTAAGGAAACGTCACGACCGACACAATTCTTGCCAAGATGATAACACAATAACTTTCTGCAATGCAAGTATCCTGCTCCTGATATATGAAGCCAATCTCCAAGAGTCTGATAGGTACAGGATGCCACATACAGCGATTTGATGTGAACGTACAGCAATTGTTCAGGGAGTGAGCTATGCTCTCGGCCCAGAACAAATCATCTTGCGTCTCTGGTACACAATATGAAATAATATTGCTGCGGATGCGATCACATCCCAAACAGTATCGCGATGTAGATGGACGAACTGCAGGACCGTGTAACGCAACGTTGTAGAACTGTAAGATTTTGTTCAGCAGATCAAGGTTCAGCTTGATGTATACGTCTGCCAACACGGCATCTGTGCGGTCACATAATGCGACAGTGCCGCACCGCCCACGAAATCACCCAGCGCACTCTGGCAACCAGAGCACTCTGAGTATGGTGTCTGTTGAGCACGCTGTCTGCATATATCGTGACTAACAGAAGCAACAGCTGCGCCGGCCAATAAAGTTCCTATCCTGATCCTAAACCCCGATCGACGAAACCCTAAACCCCTACAGGCCGCAAAATGCTGAAGCACTCAAACCACCTAGAAATCATGAGGCTCACAAACTGTTAGGTCCTATCTTCGCTTGCGACCAGGATCTTACTACTAGGGTTGGGGGGTAAGGGCTTAGGACCTAAACCCTAAACCCTAAACCCTGAACCCTAAACCCTAAGATCCTAAACCCTAAAATCCTCAACCCTAAAGCCTAAACCGCTCATTTTAAAGTCGACGCCTTTGGACTTTCCAGCCATGAGCACGGACATCTGCTTTCAACTTCAGGCCCTGAGCCTTGCTTGCCCATCTTAGGGTTAAGGGTTTAGGGTTAAGGGTTCAGGGTTTAGGGTTTAGGGTTAAGGGTTTAGGGTTTACGGTTTACGGTTTAGGGTTTTGGGTTTAGAGTTCAGCAGCTCCGGATCGAGCAATTTTACATTACAGTAACTTTCATAGTCTAGACATAACACGCACCCACCCAGGAATCCCATAACGTTGGACAATAAAAAGTTGGTTTTGTTTCAACAAGCCCCAAAAGTCTATAATGCTTCCTTCATTCATAGTTTCGGTTCGTTCACCTCGAATTCAGCACTTGTTTTTATTGCTTGAGTTTATCACAATATACAAATGTATTGCCCGATTGTCAGAATATACTTGATTGTAGATATTACTACTCAATTACCTAGACGAAATCTCGGCTGGACGAGTGGGTACTGGAGGTGGGTGGCTGGAGGGGTGGGTGGCTGGACGGCTGGGTGGCTGGACAGGTGGGTGGCTGGAGGTGGATGCCTGCTGGTTGGCTGGAGAGGTGGGTGGCTGGAGGTGGGTGGGTGACTGGAGGGAAAATCTGAATGGAAGCGTGGCTGCTACTAGCCCTTTGCCCTGAGCCAGGGCGTCAAGTGCCACGAGTTTTGATCAACTGGATAGGGGACCAGGGCATCAAGAGCCACGGCATCAAGAGCCACGAGTTTTGATCAACTGGTTGGAGGGCCAGGGCATCAAGAGCCACGAGTTTTGATCAACTGGAGCGGGCCAGGCGTCATCAACCTCTCTACCTATGTTAATTAAAACCCCATAGTCATTCGTGGCTGTTGATGTTTTTTCGTGGTTAAAACCCTAAAGGCCAGCCCAGAGCCCTAAATCCTAAAGGCCAGCCCACAGCCTAAATCCTAAACCCTAAAGGCCAGCCCAGAGCCTTAAATCCTATAGCGGGAACACTGGTCCGATTGACAACTTTTTGCGGTCCATTCTGGCATAGTTCCGGCGTTACCGGTTGATGGTCTAGTTTCACTCAGCATCTTGCTGAAATCAATCGTTAAACCTCAGGCTTCTCCCAGAACATGCTAGATCAGTAGTAACCCTTCCGAGGCGTAGGGCACACGAAATGCCCAAGCTTTAGCATTTTTCATCAAAGTTCAAGTTAAAGCACCACATCAGAACCGGGAAAAGAGCAAGGCGTGGGCGGAATTTGCTTTCGCAAGATGGTGCATCAGGCTGCGTCACAACAGGGAAACCTCCACCGGGAGAGCTTGAAGCTCCTAAAAATGCTGAGTCTGCCGAGGGTTGTACGCGTTCCTTTGAGAAGGTCGAGGGTCAACTCCGGGTTTTTGCGGTCGTTGATCTGGGCGAGCTTTTCTGTTGCCTTGCAACTCAGCGACCCAACCCTGGAGGCCGTATGGACCGGCAGTGTATCGCCGTGTTCTTACAACGGTCACCAAGAAGACAGAATTGGACACTCTCATAAAGCCTCAACCCTCAACCCTAAACCCTAAACCCTAAACCCCTTTTGCATAAGCAAATTGGGACTGCCTGCGGTCCGTAATCCCTTCAACCCTAGAGCCTCAATCCCAAAATCCAAACCCCTAAATCCCAAACCCCTAAATCCCAAACCCGTGAGAATTCCAAGTCTTTATGTCCTAAACCCCTAAAGCCTAAAGCCTCGAAATTCCAAACCCTCAGATCCTGGCTTGGATCCTAAGTCCCAGATCCTAAACCCCTATAGTCCTGTAACCCTACGTAAACCCCTGAAGCCCTAAACCCTCGAGCGCCAAACCCTCTAAACCTCAGATCACGTAGTTTCATAAATTCCTCAACCCCTACATCCTAAACATGTGAACCCCAAACCTTTAGGACCTTTAGGTCCTAAACCTTTTACTTAGTAGTAGGATAGGCAATCTATGACCTTGTTGGGGTACTATATTCCGTATATAACCCCAAAAGTTAACCTGTATAGTTCCCCATGGTACTGGGCAAATAGGTTTAAGATCCCAAGCCCTAAACCCTAAACCCTAAACCCTAAACCCTAAACCCTAAACCCTAAACCCTAAACCCTAAACCCTAAACCCTAAACCCCTAAAAACCCCTCAAGCCAAGGTCGCCCTGACGACTGGCAAGGCATTAGTCTACGCGGAAGCCATCAGCCCAGGTGTGGGCCCTGGGCCCCTGGTGGGCCGAGAGTGTAGGGGCTTTTAGGGCTTTTTAAACGGTTTCAGGTTGGAATGGGATGTTGGGCTTTTGGGGTTTAGGGTTATTCGCGTTTTTAGGGTCTAGGGCGTTTTGGGTTTTCACGGTTTTGGGCGCGTTTTCAGGGGTTTAGAGTAGGTGATTCAGGCCGGTTTGCTTCTTCATGTGAGTGCGTTTGCAAGAAGATTTTGAGACCCGGGCTCACAAAAGCAGCTTCCTGTTTCTCGAGAGCTTTTGCAGGGATCGCGTGCAAACACATGAGTGGATTTTCGGGCTTACCAGTGTTAACGGCTTGTGATTCATGTTTGTGAGGTATGTGTCGGTCTGTACGGAAGCGAGCTGAATGCTACACCCTAAGCCCTAAAAGCGCTGGCCTTTGCTAAGGGCGGGAGCTTCGCCGTGGCCTTCTTCGCCGTGGCCTTGGGTGTTTGGGTTTTGCTTCAGGGTTTGGGGGTTGACGGGTTTAGGGTTTAGGGTTTAGGGGATCAGGCTTCAGCCTTGGGGATTAGTTTAGGATTTCGGATTTGGGGTGGGTTGGGGTTGGCGTTTGGGGTTTGGGGTACATAGAGTATGCCATTGTTCAGCGAAGAAATTAGGATGCTGGTGGAGGGATTCACGTGTAGGATTCGAAATTCAACAGAACGGCATGAGAATAGAGTATTGCAGAAGGCTTTGAAGCTACTCCTTTCAACGATATAGACAAGGTCAAATCATAGGCTAGCAGGGGCCAAGGCTTACTTATTCTTAATGGCTAAACATGAATCATGAAGCCCTAAACCGTAGCTACATGGGTTTAGGATTCGGGGTGTAGGGTTTCGGCTGTTTCTGTTCTCCAGCAGAGAAAGGAGCGAGAGAGAGACAGAGCGAGGGAGAGAGAGGGAGAGAGCGAGAGTTGGCGCATCGAAATCGACAAAACCCTCAAACCTAAACTCTGGACCCAAGCTTTACAATGAGACCTTCCTTTCCTCATCCTCTAAGCCCTATGCCCCAGACATCCCCAAGGTGTGTTGGAGGCGGGCGCTTCGCCCTCCAACCTTCTCGCAGCATCCCAGCCTGGAGAGGCCCTTCAACCTCGGTCGGTTAGAATCTACGGATCAGGTTAGGGTTTAGGGCTGATGTTCAGGTTTTCAATTCGTTTAGGGACTACAAACAAGTTGCTTAGGGTGTTGAGCATGCTGGTGTTTCAGAGTTCTTGTCTGAATAGATGGATCGGAAAACTAGCAAAAACATCCCCCGTATTGTCGCCATATACGGTTTTTCACGCACCCGAAAACCCTATTCTAACCGTTCAGGCCCATATTTAGGGTTAGGGTTTAGGGTGGTTTAGGGCGTTGTCGTTTCTCGTCGAGGCTTGCTTACCGGGTCTTTGGGGTGTGCAGTCACAACCAGATGCAAAGATGCCCTACTGGGAGGTTCATGGGTAGTTATAAGTGGGGTCATAAGTCCCTTAACATGGGTTATAACTATAGTTACCCTACTTATAGCCCCACTTATAACGACCCATGAACCTCCAAGTGTGGAAGGGCTCGGCCCATCCCGGTCTTTAGGGCTTGAGGGTTTATGGGCGTGTAACTGAACCTTGGGCCTGCGGATGTTTAGGCTGTAAAGTTTCGGGCTGAGGTTTTTAGGGTTTAGGGTTTGGAGTTTGTAGTTTAGGGTTCAGGGCTTACGGCTTAGGATTCCATCCGCAGTCTTGGCCTTGCAAAAATATACTTGGAGGTTCATGGGTAGTTATAAGTGGGGTTACAAGTAGCGTAACTATAGCTATAACCCATATTAGGGGATTTATAACCCCACTTATGACTACCCATGAACCTCCAAGACCCTAAACCCCAAACCCTAAACCCTAAACCCTAAACCCTACCCATGAACCTCCAAGTACACGAAAACCTCTAGACCCCAACAGCCCTCGGCCGCCCTAGCCATCCCATCGACCCGAAACTAAAACCTCGGTGATGAGACGCAGCTTCAACCAGAATAACATTGCCAACTTTTGGAGTTTAGGGCTTAGGGTTCAGGGTTTTAGGGTTTAGGGTTTAGGGTTTAGGGTTTAGGGTTCAGGGTTCAGGGTTCAGGGTTTAGGGTTTAGGGTTAAAGGAATACAGGGGCGAAGGAAAAGGGTGCTGAATCCTGCTTCCCGAGAGACCAATGCACTGGCATTCTCGAAGCCGAACTGCTCCTCCATCTTCCTGACCCGGCAATCAGGGTTAACCCTAAACCCTAAACCCAAAAAGCTCCACCCTACGTATGCCTCAGATTCTCGGACTTTGGGGTTTTGAGCTGTAACAGGGTCAGAAGCTTAAGGGCTATATAAAGGCCCCCTATAACGTTGAGGGTTTAGGGTTCAGGGCATACTCCGAATTTGAGGGGTGTTGGGTTCGTGGAAGCAGGGTTTGGCAAAATACCCGAAACTACTATGGGTGAAAAGAATACCTTTCTAGCCGACTGGCTTCTTCAAACGGTGTCATGTGGGGCTGCATGTTAAAACACCGGCTCCAGCCAGTCGAGGACCGTAAATCCTGTCCCAAAATCCGAGACCAAAACCTTAGTCCCAAAACATCCAAAGGCTTGGGCTGGGCAGAGGTTCTCGATGTAAGGGTTTGCGGGCTAGGATTCTTGCCTTGAAGGCTGACGAAGCACAGGAGTTACAGGACCCCACGAGAGGGCAACGTCCTTTACTTCAGGAATAAAGCTGCAAGTGTGCTGCATCTTGTGATGTAAGGGTTTAGGGTTTAGGAAAGATGTGAGACATATTCCTTACTTGGGTGGAACGTCAGGTCTTGCGAATTTCATGCTTTGGGAAGCGGTTTTCAGGCGTTGGGGGAATCGTAAGGTCCAGAGTACTACCCCCAAAAAAGGGCTAAACGGATGTGGCCGCTAATTAGGTTGGGGGCCGGTGAGAAAAAAGACCACGAAGCTTTGCAAACCCCGAAACAGTTCCGACAGATATTTGCGAAGGCACGGTGGATTCGCGAACCCTTTGCAAAGCCGAAATGCCGCCAGCGCTTGCGAACCCGAAGAAGGTTAGGCGAAGGATTGCGAAGGCAAGGGAGGTTCACGAACCCCCAAATCCTTCCACTAAGATTCCCCCAACTTCCCCCTATCGACCCCCGAATGCAGTGGCCACATCTTTCGCCCTGTTCTGGCAAACTGTGGCTACAGAGTTTAGGGTTGAAATCTTGACAACCCAACAAAACTCTTCAAGCATGGCACACAGAACTCCAGTTTGGGGTTTTCGTTTGGGTTGTCCTTCTTTCGTACCCCAGCTCTTTAGTAAGAATCCCTGATGAAGGTTTGGTGGCGCAGGGCTCTGTAGACTTCTGGATGCTTTAGAGGCATATGGGTAGTTCTCTAAAGTAGGGGCCGTCCCAAAAATATCAAAACAGATCCTAGTTTAGAGAACTACCGATCCGGACCGTCTCGGTTGCTAATCAGAATGTATCTATACTGAAAATGTTATGGCTTAGGGTTTTGGGTATTAGGGTTTAGGGTTTTGGGTATAAGGGTTTAGGGTTTAGGTATAGACTCAAAGTTCAACTTCCTCCCCCCAAGCCCAAACAAAGGGCCAACCCTGAACTCTAAAGCCCCAGATCCCTAGACCCCACCCCTGCAACCCCAAGATTCTCCGTCCAGGGTATATTGCCCAGAGTTTAGGCTTAGTGTTTAGGGTTTAGGGGTTTAGGGGTTTAGGGTTTAGGGCTTAGGGGTTTTATAGTTTAGGGTTTATGGTTTTAGGGTTTCAGGGTTTTAGAGTTTAGGGTTTATGGTTTTAGGGCTTCAGGGTTTTAGGGTTTAGGGTTCAGGGTTTAGGCGCCCCCGACACGCCGCGGAAGGCAGCGTCCGTAGTATCCGAGCTGCTCCCCGTCGCTGCTGCCGTTGTCTTCTTCGGACCGGCTCCGGAGCTGCTGGACCCCTAAACCCTAAACCCAAACCCCTAAACCCCTAAACCCCTAAACCCCTAAACCCTAAACCCCTAAACCCCTCAACCTTAAACCCTAAAGCCTAAAACCCTAAACCCTAAACCCTAAACCCTAAACCCTAAAACCCTGAACCTTGAACCTTGAACCCGAAACCTTGAACCCGAAACCTTGAACCCTAAACCCTAAACGCTTGCAAGCATGACACCATCGTTGAACCTGAGGCCCAGAGGGTCCATATACACTACCCTTATGGAATTAGGCCCCAAAAGACCATCCTTATTATGGTTTTAGGGACCTAACTTCATAATAGTAGTATATATGGACCCTCTTGGAGAATCTTCTTCCGGCGGCGCTTCAAGACTTCCTCCACGCGGAGCATAGCCCCACGCACCACGTCGGTCGTCCGTTGAGCCCGAACGGCTCCTATGAAACTCACAAACAAAGAACCCTCTTTAAGCCCTTCGAACACAAGAGAGTTATGAAAGCACGATCGACGAAAGATGCTATAACGAAGTCTTTGGACCTCAACATGGAAAGCCCTGGACTGGGATTCGAGGCCGCGCACCCTCGACTCAGAATCCAAAACCCCCACACCCTTCATCCTCCCTCCCTCGCGGTCCTCAACGCTTCCACTGTCCCGCACTGCGTCACGTAGGGCAGCCTGGGTCTCATGCTTGTTTAGGGTCCAGGCTAGCTTAGACAGGCAGTGTATCGATGCTGGTTTCTTTACTGCTGTTGCTCCTCCTGCTGCGGCAACCCCCACCGTCTAGCATAAGCACTACAGGTGCATCCTGCAGGGTACCTTTGTGGCAATACAATGCTGAGTCTCATCTTCTGGTGGAAACAAGCTCTATAAATAAATGTCTGCATTCGTGCTATTGCATGTGCCGCTAGAATTGTAAGCTATTCGTGTTAACGCTAGCTCCCGTCAACCCTAAACCCTTCCCCAGTAAGCTGTTCCAAGGGTGACATAGGCCCCCAGGCATCAATACAGGAGGTGGGAAACTAAGGCAGTGACATCAGTGCACCTGACGCACTTGTAGTGACCACAAGTA